AGTGATAAAGGCGTGTATTCGGGGCATCTGTTGCAAGCTAGGGCTGAGCCAGGATTTAAGCATGTTTCGCTTGTTTCGCATGTCAGATCCCACCAATCGGTCGACGACTTTTCGATTTCCCCGCAGCTTCGTTTCTGGAGGGAAGGGAATGACCAGGTCGATGCCCTGGCTAAGGCCGCCCTCGCGAGGCACCCATCAGATTTGAAGCTTGAGGAATCGCTCACCACCGACGTCAAATTTGCTAGAGCTCATTGTACCCTGGCGATGCACCTTCTCCCCCACTACGCCCCTCTTCCTGAGTATGGAGAAGTAGAGTACGTCCGCCCGTCTAAGCCAGTGAGAGCTGGCAAAGGGATGCATGTCTGGCGGCACGTTGGAACTTTTTGGAAGTGCCTGCTCTGCCTCAAAGTGCGACGTTGCCCCTGGCCTCGGAAGCCCCCCACGGAGGGCTGCCCTGGCACGATGGAGCTGCCTCTACAACGGATCTGCAGTTTAGGGCACTCCTGTATCGGTTTGGAATGTTCTGACGGGGCTACTTTTATCCTTTGCACTTCTTGCAAATCCTACTCTTCTCGCGGGAGATTTAGAGGCTTGCCGGTCAATTGCCCGTCTCGCCCATCGCTCTTTGGAAGGGGGGCGTGGTCGGCGGTCTCCAAGGGGCGCCACCCCAAAAGACCTCCCGTCGGCGTCGACTGCCCGATTTCCAGCTCGGACTTAGCCTGCCTGCCCCGAGGCCCCTACAGGCACCCCCCTGCCCCCTCGGGCCCCCCGCAGGACACTGATTCCGATGCGGGGGGCTCACCTACAGGATATGGCCTCGGAGCTTCTTTTTGCTTTGCAGAAGCGAGATGCCCATCAAGAGCAGCGACGGGACAACCCCACTTTCTTGGCGAGGAGGCGCCAGGATCAGTCCGACAGTTCTGATTAGTTTACTTATTCTGGCTTAGACATCTTTCTTATTCCCAGCACGGCCCGATGCGACTGACCCTTTTTGGCAGGCATCCGTGCTTTACCCCACATCTGGGGCGAGGCCACCAGCCGTCCTGGCGCTCGCTGCACCAGGGGCTGGAGACCTCGTCGTCCTTGTGTGGGCGGTTGACTTTTATCTTGTGTTTGTGGCCTTCGGCCTTTCTTTTTTTCGTTTATGCAGCGGCTCTACTTATGGGGCGAGGCTATGTCGTCCAGGCGCACCCAGCACCTGGGGCAGGCCTCGTCGTCCTTGCGTGGGCCCTTCTTATTCCGATTGCGTTCGTTTCGTGTTTGCACGTGTGTCAGGCACCCCGCTTCAGGGGGGAGTTGCGCGCGCATCCTGAGGGTTTCCTTCAGCGGAGCACGGGGGTAGGTTTATCCCGACAGTCGCTCGAATTTGGCGTTTCAAGTGGCCAGGCAGAGTCGCCCCTGGCCCCAACGCCTAGGCCCTCCTCCTCTTTCGTGCGGCCTCGTGTGCGCACGCGTTCGTCTCGCGCACTGGCCCCCCGCCATCGTGGCATGCGCGACGCTCGAGGGGGCGTCTATTTTCTCGGGAGTACGGGGGCTCCTCGCCCCGTCGGTCTCTCGTCTTTTGGGGTGTTGCTGTGGACTGGAGCTCTGGCTCCTAGCCCCAACACCGTCGCAGCCCAGCATCCTGGCTGATGACCGCCCGTCCTCTTGTGCAGTCGAGGGCTGGCGGTCCGCGCTGCTCTTCCACTTGCAGGATCCTGCTCGCGGCTTTGTCTCCCCGCCTAACTTTGGCGGGGAAAATATTCAGCAGGCTGTCTCCGCCCCAGTCCCTGCAGGAAAACTCGCTGGGGTTGAAACGAAAAAAATAGCATCCTGATTGAGGGTTCCTCACGACATGGATCCTTGATAAGAACCCCTTTGTAAAGGCCTCCCTTCTAACGAATGCTGAATCGATGCGTCCATGCTGCAGGTGTCCAAACGTGAGGGGCCCTTACGCAAGACGCATGGATAAGAGGCCTCCGAATTGATGGCTGCCTACCACACCGAAGGCGTCTTCATTCTGGAAACCTTTCTTAAGGAAGCAGTGGCAAGGAATCCGTCCACCAGGGATCAGTAGCAAAGGGATCGGCACTGAAGGCACCCGCACTAAGGATGCCTTACCTAAACGCATCCTTACTACGGGGCCCTTACTAAAGCCACTCTTAATAAGTAGCCCTTGCTGTGGAAGCATGAGTGGTGACCCCTCGACATATGGATCCTTACTGAGGGGGTCCGTACTGCAAGCGTCCTCGCTCGGGATTTCTCACGACAGGGATCCTTCTTCGAGGTTCCTTGGCACAAACACCCTTACTTGCGAAAGCCAGCCGCAAGCATCCTCATTAAACGTCTTCACTACACGGATCCTTATTCAGGGTTTTTTGGCGCAGGCCCCCTTACCAATGAATGCGTATGGAAAAGAAATCCCTGTTAAGGACCTCATCACTAGAAGGAATGCGTACTGAAGATCCCTCACTACAGGCTACAGGCACTCGCACTTAGGATTACGAAGGATCTCCAGCAGTGGCCCGAAACGTACGCATGGCGCCCCATAGGGATGGTCATTGGCTATACGTTGCGTGAACGTGGCAGGTGGAGGGATCAGAGAGATAGATAGAACGAGAGAGAGAGAGAGAGCAAACACTTCCTTATGCCACTTTCCCCGTCTGCGTTGTGGGTTTCGTGGGGGGTGGCAGCCAGCACCCCCCCCGCCCGGTATCTCCTCCTCCTCCTCCTTGCAGGAGGAGGTTCATTAAAGGGACCCGATCCTTAACTGAAGGCACCTTGTCAGCAAACAAAGTAAGAACATCCACAATGAAGAACGCAACAAGGATTCTAAACAACAGGGGTGCTTACCGAGGGGTCGATACTACAGGCGCCCACTATGAATGACATCATTATTGAAGATCTTTTACAATGGATCATGAACCATTGTTCAGTGCAGTTTTCTTACATGCGGAACCCTTACTAAAGGGATCCTCCATAAGGATCACTCGCTATGGGGACCAGTTAAAACATATTCAGCGGTAAATGTATCCCTGTTAAAGATTGCTGGGTACCTGCGTCGGCACGATGGGCTTCCAAGCTAAAGGGGCACTCATTCAGGAGCTTGTCATAAAAAAAGACATCCTTCCCAGTGGTTGTCTGTTGAACAAAAGGCATCTCTTGCAAGATATCATTCCGGAAGGAAGCAGTAGTACAGAATCCTTGCCGCAGGGGCTTTTACTTGAATAGGTCGTACTGAAGGCATCCACCTCAAGGATGTCTGACTCAAGCACCCTCATTACGAATGTATTACCCAACGAATCATTACTAAATAACTTTTTTCTCGAGTAATCACGAGTCACGCGCCTTGGTTACAGGGATTCGTATTGAGGGGGTCCTTATTGAAAGCATCCCCGCTGAGGACTCGTCACTAAAGGAACCATTGTTAAAGATCTCTCGGACAGAAGGCATCCTGACCGACGAACGCTTACCAAAGGATTTTCATTGAAGATCGGTCACGAAAGGGATCCTTACTCAGTGTTCCTTGCTTCCTGCTCCTCCTCCACCTCCTCCTCTTCCTCCTCCTCGTCCTCATTCCCCCTCTTCATCTCCGGCTGGGTGGATGGAAAAAAAAGCAAAACAGTAAAATGTTGGGTCTTGGCCAATCCCACTAACGAACGAGACCACGTTGACGAAACGGTGATGGGTCGAAGGCCCCCCGAAATGTTGTTCTGCATTTTTGTTCGGGCTCGGCATAGGCCAGGACCAATGTATTCATGGCTATGCGCATGTATTACACATGTTATGCGCATGGGTAAACACGTCTATATGTGTATATATATACACACGTGTCAACCTCTTACCGTAGATGGTTGAACGCCTTTGACCCGCTATGCCAGCGAATTGCAACGTTTGCTCATGATGCGACCACCATTTCTTCGCCCTCCTTCTTCCTCAGCTAGAACCTGGCTGCGAACTACGCATTGGCGATCGCTAGTGCGTGAGCGACACCGCGGCGGTCCTGAGTTTAGTGCTACTGAGAATCCAGATCGTCCTTCTCATCCCCCTCTTCTTCCACCTGCGCATTGTGATAGCTTCGGCAGCTCCAGCTTCTCCCCATCTTTACGCGCTTTCTCCCCCATCTCTTCCAACCTTCTAAAGCCTGTCAGAACCTAAAGCCTTCCAAATCGGCCCTACCAACATCCGGCGAGGCTTCCGCGCTCATCCTCATCGTCATCATCATCATCATCAGCAGCAGCATAATAGTAATAATCATTTTCATCGTCATCATCAGCAGTAGCATGACCAGTAGCAGCATCATCATCATCACCATCTGCATCAGCATCATCATCAGCAGCATCATCACCATCACCATCACCATGACCATCATTACAACCAACACCAGAACCACAACCATCATCATTAAGATCATCCTCTTCCCCCTTCCCTGCCCCCTCCTATCCAGGTCCCCTTCGTCCCCGTCGTCGCCCCCTCCTCCGCACCTCCCTCGCCTCCCCCCCCGCTGCAACATGTGCCGCATAAGCAAGAGTTCACGCACCTCCTAGCGCAGAGCCTCCTCCTCTACCTCCGCCCCCCCCCTCCTCTTCCACCTGCGAATTGCTGGAGCTTCGGCAGCTCCACCTCCTCCTCATCTGTACACGCTTTCTCCCTCACCTCCTCCAGCCCTCTAAATTCTATCAGAACCGAGCGACGCCAATATCAGCCCTTCCAACATCCGACAAGGCTTCTGCGCTCATCCTCATCATCATTATCATAATCATCAGCATTATCATCAGCATCAGCATCGTCATCCTCATCATCAGCAGCATCATCATCAGCATCATCACCGTCGTCATCAGAATCATCATCATCATCATCATCATCATCATCATCAGCATCATCATCATCAGCAGCATCATCAGTATCAATATCATCATCGTCATCAGCAGCAGCAGCATCGTCATCGTCAGCATCCTCTTCTCCCTCGGCCACCCTTCCTCTCCCTCGTCCTCCGCCCCCTCCCACCCCCCTCCCCAGAGGTCACCACGCTGTTGTACACCGACAAGACGCGCGAGCGCCCCGAGGCCCTTGAGCACAGCCGCCCGCCGCCGCCGCCGCCCGCCGGGCCCCGCCTTCTGCCGCGGCTGCGGCCTCTGCCGGCAGCTGCTGCCGGCCGCCGCCAGGCACTTTTTGGTCGCAGCGCTGGCGGTCGCGCGGCGCGATCGAGGCCCAAACCTCATCGAGCGCGTTTCACTGCTCGCAAAGTGCCGACTCGCAGACGTCCGAACACACACACACACACACACACACACATGTCTGCATCGATATCACTGATAGTAGGTCCCCCACGGCGGATCCGAGCCATCTGCGAGTAGTCACTCTGCGAGCAGCGGGGCGCGCCTGTCTATACGCGCTGGGGGTTGCTGTCTGCGCGGCGCGAGGCTGGCCGATACTGGAGTGGCGGAGCGGTGGCGCGGGCTTGAGGGGGGCCAGGAAGAGCGCGCTGATTGCGGAGCTTGCCGTGTCCGCGGGCACACTGGCGCTGCTGGCTGCCGCAAGACCTTATACTACGCCTCATCCTCCATCCTCCCTCCTCTCCTCCTCCTCCTCCTCCTCCTCCTCCTCCTCCTCCTCCTCCTCCTCTTGCTCTACCTTCTCTTTCTCCTCCTCCTCCTCCTCCTCCTCCTCCTCCTCCTCCTCCTCCTCCTCCTTCTCCTCCTCCCCCTCCTCCTCCTCCTCTTCCACCTCCTCCTCGTCGTTCTCCTCCTCGTCCTCCTCATCGTCATCATCCTTCTCCTCCTCATCATTCTCGTCCTTCTCCTCCGTATCCTCATCGCCATCTCCTTCATCGCCGTCGTCGCCCCCCCTCCTCCTCATCCGCATCATCACGGCGCCGGGGTCGGAGAACGCGCGGCCGCGCAGGCCGACGCAGCCTCACAGGGCAAGAGCTGGCCTCGAGATCTCGGCGTCTCGAGCTGTTCGAGCCAGGCGTTGTCGTCCAGGTTCGGGGCCTGGGAACCTCACAGATCGACCAGGCTCGACAAATGACGCAGTGAGATGCAGGAGGAGGAGGAGGAGGAGGAGGAGGAGGATCCGCGCGCATCGAGACGGGCTGTCGGCCGTCGGGCCTGGTTTCACCCACCTGAGGTGCCAGGACACCCCGACCGTGAACACGACGTAGTCGAGCTCGCACGAGGACGGACTGATCAGTGCCGTCCATGTCCGCGGGAGGGGGAAAGGGGCGAGGGCCCTGCACGTCTAGCGGCGAGGCCGCCTACCACCCCCCCCCCCGCTGCTCCTCCCGCGGCCGGCCGCCCTAGGCCCTGGACCATCACCACGTGGACCACCACGCGCTCGACGGCCATCATCCGCTCCGAATCCCCCGCCTCGCGTGCCGTCGGGCGCGGCCGCCAACTCCTCGAGCTCGACGGCCGTTGCGACCAGCACGCCGTGGTCGCAGGTGAGCTTCTCGGACGCTGGGAGCAGACCCGCGCACTTCCGCAGGCGATGGACGAGCCCCCCACAGCTGCCACACCTCGAGGTGGCCGCGCTGGTTCTTGCCGCCGCTCTCGCCGCCCTTGCTCGTGCTCCTGCCGTTGCCTCCGCGCGGAGCCTGTGCTGGCAGGCGGGCCACGAGGCCGCACCACCACGGGCAGCTCGTCAGCCCGAGCGTCGTCCTCCAGCACTGGCTGGACGTCGGCAGCCGACCCCACCACTGCGCAATCCTCTGTCAGCATCAGGGCGTCGGGCTGCACCTGCGCCACGCCTGCTCCCGCTCCTCCGCGGCCGCGCGGTCGGCGGCGCCTCCGCGGCGCCTCCGAGGAGGCCGTCGCGCCCGCAGGCAACGGGGCGCCAGGCGGCGCGTGCAGCTCCGCCACTGCTGTGCGAATGAGGCCCTCGGCCGCGCGGATCAGCCGCGCGGCGGAACGCCGCCCATCGGTGACAGCCAGGCCCACGGCCGCATGCACCGAAATGAGCGCCCCGCGGGCGGCTTCCGGCGGCGCCGCAGCGCGTGTTCCAGTCTTCTGCGTACCCAACGTCGGGGCGAGCGGCGGCGGGGGCCTGCGGACGCGTCGAGCTTGTGCCAAGCCAGTACTAGAAGGAGGAGGAGGAGGAGGAGGAGGAGGAGGAGGAGCGCGCTCAGACTTACAGAGCCCGCGTCGGCGACATGAGCGCCTAGGGGACCCGAATCAATCGAGAAAGTTCGTCACGTTCAGTATCCAAGGCGGCCGTTGCCACAGCGCCGTGCAAGAACGCAGTACCAAGAGTACAGTAGTGAACCTCCAATACACATATTGAGGAATAGTGGGTAACATACCCCACAAACTACGAGTCCCACGGGTATAGACCCGCCACTGGGTCACAAGACGTGGCGTCCAATCCGCGATGACAGTAGCCTGGTCCACCAGCAAAGCAAGGTAAGGTTGCATCCCTGCACGTACCAACGTTGGTAAGTCACGGTGCGCGGCGCACGATGTCCAAAAGCTTGACCGTTGATCCGAACTCGCACGCCGTAATGTCATCCAACTGTTGCTGGACAGGGAAATGTGATTTGTCATCACCACACACTGCGGTTTGGGCGTCATTGCCAGTAGTATGCTTCTTCGGATGTTTCTTCTTGTCCTTATTCTTGGCACGAGGGCGGAGCTCGTCTCCTAGCCTCGCACCTTGCGTTCTCTCGATGTTCACCGTTTGGGACTTGCTGGCCGCATCCATGGAGAGTGTAGCCCCGCGGCCGCTGTCGTTGGAAGTACCCTTGCGGCGGCGGCTCGGCCTCCACAGCCAAGCCATCCAGACCACTGGAAGAGGTACCATCGACATCGGACTTGAGGGCCGCATTATCGTGGTCTGCTCGCCTGTCGTGAGCGAGAGTCGGGAAGAAAGGGACCGACCGAAAAGCATCGAAATTCGTCTCCCCAGGAATCGGTACTCCGTAGGTGTCGGTCCTTGCGTCCCACCCCCGCCCTCTCCACAGCCGCCACTGGCTCCGGAGAGAGGCTGCTGGACGACAAGGGGGGCGATGGGGGCTCCCGCTTTGCCGCCACTGGCACGGGCGGGGGAGATGTTGGCGGCAGCGGCGGGTTTCCCTGGCGACGTGGAGTGGCAGGGCGACGCGAGCTCGGGACCTCCACCGGTCGTTGTGAGCGCGTCGCCGCCTTCTCCCGCTCCGTCCACCATTGGGGGGGAGAGCGACTCGGGCGCGTGAACTCCACCGGTCGCTCCGAGTTCGCCGCTGCCGCCCTCCTTTGCCGCCCACTCTGGCTCTGCATTGGTTTCGGCTCGTACATCCGGCGAGCCTCCGCTGGAGCTGCACTCGGAGTTACTGCCGCTCTTGCCTCAACTTATGCACCTCCTGATCCTTCTCCACCAGCGTCTGTTGTAGTAGCGCCAGGCGCTGCTGTTCCTTCAGCGGCTTTGGATGTTGTCCTGCTGTAGCTGCAGCTCCAACTGCAAGTGCTTCTCGCGCTGCTTCTCCTGCTCGATCTGGGACTTTATGTCGTGGACCTGGCACGTGAGGTCCCAGAGCTGGCGGAGGCGCTGGTGGCGGCTGCCTCTGCTCCGAGACCCGGAGCTCCTCATACTCGGGGACTGGCCCAGCCTGCCGGCGGGGGCGATCGAGAGCGGGAGCGCTGCCTCGACTGGAGTCTTGAGCGCGCCACCATGGCGCTCCCAGAAGCCGGCAATAACCGCGTCAGCGCTCCTGTACCCAAAAACTTGTAAACTTAGCGAAACCACTCGCGACGCGATCACCACGATCGGTGTAGCGCTCATGCGCTGCGTACTGTAGTGTTGACCCATCTTGCCACCGCGCCACAGCGATGGACCTCAAGCCGCAGCGACTCACCCTCAGCGAGTCGACATTAAGCGCGGGGGCGCCAGGCGGAGGCAAGGGCGCGCCGAGCAGGCGCGCGCGTGCCTGAGCCGGCGCGGCTTGAGCTAGAAGGAGGAGGAGGAGGAGGAGGAGGAGGAGGAGGAGGAGGAGGAGGAGGAGGAGGGGGAGGAGGAGGACAGGAGCGGGGGCTGAGGAGGAGGAGGATTCGGGTTACAGTCCTGATTGTTCACGATGCTTAGTTTCTGTCCGAGACGTCAGATCTCTCGGGGGAGGCCCTTGCTCGGCGGCAGCCGGCGCGCCGGCCCGCGCGCCAGGCCAGGGGCTCTCGGTTACACGTGAGAGTGGTCCTTCGCGGGAGTGGCATGTTGTGGTGCGCGGCCGTCGGGGGGCGCGAGGGTGAGGTGGGGGAGGAGGAGGAGGAGGAGGAGGAGGAGGAGGAGGAGGGAGGAGTAGGAGGAGGAGGAGGAGGAGGAGGAGGAGGAGGAGGAGGAGGGGGGGGGAGGAGGAGGAGGAGGAGGAGGAGGAGGAGGAGGAGGAGGAGGAGGCGGAGGAGGAGGAGAAGGAGAAGGAGGAGGAGGAGGAGATGAGGAGGAGGAGGAGGAGGGAGAGAGGAGGAGGAGGAGGAGGAGCAGGAGGAGAGGCGGAGGAGGAGGAGGAGGAGGAGGAGGAGGAGGAAAGGAGAAGGAGGAGGAGGAGGAGGAGGGAGGAAGGAGGAGGAGGAGGAGGAGGACTCCGTAGCTATTTTGGCTCAAGTGGCCTGCTCCTTAACTTCCCAACCTCGGCTCGAGGAGCCCAGTGTGCTGTGCGGGGGGCCACGGCCTCATCCCTTCGGTCTGTGCGCGGGGGCGCCCGCGGCGATGCCAGCGCATGGCTCTCGTGTCGGGAACTGGGCGTGTGGAGGTTGCGGGTGCAAAGCGAACGAGTACTGGTGGACGTGGTGCAAGCACTGCGGCCGTCAGCGGTCAGGCTCTGGGAGTGTGCAACCTGCCCATGCGGGTGCCAAGGGGGTGCGGGGTGGCTCTCAGTCCGCTCCTCCTGGCCCTGGTCGTGTGCAGGCTCCTGGAAATTGGTTTTCGCCCTCCTCTACTCCAGGCACTCAGGGGAGTCCTAGCAAAAAGGAGATCCAGTCAGTCATACAGCTCCTTGAGGCCAATTCTGACTTCGAGGCAGCAGTGCAGTATAAGGACAAGCTTCGCGCCGTCGACCCCCCGCCCAAGTTGCAGTGGGGGCCGGCGAAGCAGGAGATGGAGA